CAACTAAGGCGTTTTGCCTCGTCAAACCGACAAAAATTGGTTAAGAGTGTTCATACTGTCCCCACAACATATTTATAGTTCTGATAAGAAAATCCATGCCTTTCTATCTAACCTTCTCTGATTACAATCGCCTACCTTTACCGTTCTCGCAGCGACCCTCGTGGGATCGAGCCATTTCAGTGGGTCATATGCATACTTTCACTTGCTTCACTGTCGGAGTTATCGTCCGGGAAAAGAATATGGTACGTGATACTCGGTTGTGCAGTTAAGCCTCAGGATGCTTGATGCTGGTCTGCCACCTGGCACCGCAGGCATTCTCTCTCTCCCTCTCACATTGTTTCATTAATCGTTGCAGTACGGCCTCATGCAGCACCGTGCCTGGTGTGTAGCGCTTTTACCGCACCACTGTTATTTGCACTTTAGCGCACGAAATATTGCCGTGCCGCCAACGGTGGCGGTGAGTAGTCAGTCTCTCGACCCGCTGCAGTCCTCGTGCCGCTCAAAGGTCTGTCACGCATGCTGCAAATGACATTCCTAAACCTGAGAGAGAGAGAGAGAGGAGCGCGAACTCGCGCAACGATAAGGACGTACCGTCTTAACTCCGCTCCAGGCCGGCGCCTTACAAGGATACTTTTCTGCCAGGCAATACGAGTGGTTCTGTGTGGCGGTAACGCAGGAGGTAAGGGATCGATAGAAGTAGTCCAAGGAAGTCCTTTTGTCAGGCCGAATGTGATGCGGGAGAGTTAACAGTCAACATAAACTGTACGGCAGGACTATGTTTTTGATTGGAGCACATTGTTACTTAGGGACGTGCCCAGACAGAGTGCAGTCTGCAACTCTACTTTTAGTGGCGGTCATTTAATGGTGCACTACTGAGTCCGACTGCAGTGGGCTATCTAGTGATTTCTTATGAATGGTAGGTCCATTTGGCGCAGAGCGACGCAGAGTTCTGTTTCCATTTAGCTCGATTTTCAAATGTGTACGCCGTTATGTGACGTCATGTTTGGTGGGCTGGTTCTGGTGGGGACGTTCTTGCAAATATTCCACACAGCACTGAACAACGGCGCGGAAGTTCGTTGGAGGTTTCCGAGTTCATGGGATACAATTAGCTGTGGTTTTTCTGGGGCATGGGGAGGGGGAATAATTATATGCCCGTCTGACCGTGGTATTACGTTCTAGTCGCGCTATTATAGAGACTGATGGGGAGGAAATGCCAGAAAAACATTGGAGCGTCCTCCGCCCTCTCATAAGTCCAAGATGGAATTATGGCGCATTTTGGTCCTCAACAGGCACGGTGACCTGCGCGTGAATTCGTTTCTAGTGACAATATACTTCCACAACATTTACCGCACGCCCTCCTCCTCCTCCATCAGCCGGGTTCGCTGTCAAGACATAGTCAAGTAAACCGGAGGTAGGAGAGGGCGCGGGCGGCTGGCGAGGCCGGAGTTGCTTCTAGGCGTGCCGCCACACCCGAGTCGGATCCCACTATTTGGGGGTGCTATAAAGGCCACACTAAGCTGGAGCCATTGCAGCCTGACTCTTAGACCCCCAGCCGGCTACTGCGCACAAACACACACCGGACCGACTGCGAGTTCCACGTTATCCCGTAGTTTGCAACCTTGGGTTTTAGCTCAGGTTGATAGCTTTAAGTGCGTCAGAGTATTTATATTGAGGAAAATGTGCCGAGTCGTCGACCTCACTTCTCCTTCCCATTCCCAGACCTCAGCCACTGTTCGAGCCGGTACGTTGGCTGGTTCGGTAAATAGCCGCGGTGGCTGACATATATAGTGACCTTGTCTGCGCGCGCCACAAACACAAGCACCAGGATGTCACACATCAGTGGCGTGGGCGGAATACATCTAACATGCGTGGAAGTGCCAGAGTTCACGTCAGGATATCTGACGCTGGACGAGTTTCTCATTTCTATTGGCTATAGCGGTAAAAATTGTCTTAAATGTACATCAGCAAGGTTTACAGAAACAATACCTAAAGCTCGAGTAAAGAGACCAGACTGCTAAGGAAAAGGCCTCCCGAATACTTCGTCTATTATGGTCGCGAAAGTGTGTCATGTTAGAGGTCTGGGAACAAGGATCCGGAATTGTAGGTAAAAATGATTGTGTCAGACAGGCAAGTTGCAGATGACAAGGAAAAAAGACTGGTAAAGGCTGCTCTTTTGAAACCGACAAAAATTGCATCTCAAGTAGCATAGAATTCAGAAAATAGGATTAATGGTAGCAAGTAGTGTGGCATACGTTGGTGCGTAAAAAACAGTTAGAAATGAAAGTGGACTCAAAAAAGCAATTGGTGAAAACTAAAAAGTATCAAGAGTCGTTCTTCAAGCGGATGCTGCCAACAAGTTCGTAGAATTCATCTTTTTTCCTGGTGGAGTGCATGGCGCAGATATCTAGTGAATCAACGGCTTGATCACCGAAGTACGTCTCCTGGAAGTCTGTCAGGAGGTCAGAGTCAATCGAATTTGACTTAAATATTCGTTTTGCTTTTGGGTTTCTCTAGAGCAAAGCAGTAAACATAAGGACATTAAATCAAGGGAAAAATAAGGGAAGATCAAAGCGGCTAGGTAGTAACTGCTAACTTAAAGGTGAGTAGTATATATAAGCTTGAAATATTTTGAATCTGAGGTTAACTGATGATCGGAAAACTCAAAATACGTGTACTTGGAGCTCTCGGTCAGGAACTTTGCAGAGGAATAAAAGTTAACTTGCATAAACGGACAACCCATCCTTTCGGCGTTGATATTCAAACGTTCACTGCCTTAATAAAAAATAAGTGTACTGAAGTGTCAACAGTAGTAAGCACTTCAAAATCACCTTTATGAGGGTCAGGTGGGGCGTGAAAGGATGGTTGTTTCCAGGAGTTGCTATGTTCTCAGATTGGAGAAGTGCCTGTATCTTCTCAGCAAAAGCAGCAAGCGTCGGATCAGGAATGACAGAAGCGTACAATAAATGCCCACTGAACTGACCTACACCTTTTACTCTGAAGGACTCTGTTGGGGCGAGCTGCCAGAGATCAGTCCTTGCAGTATGAAGGCAGGCCAGGGCCCGCTCTGCCTCGTGCTTATCTGCAGCATAAAACGTGCACCAAGTCAGGTGCAATCGGGCAGACGAATAGGCGAAACGGGCATAAATCGTCTGCTTTGAGCAGACATGCTCAATAATTCGAGTGAGCCCAGTGAGAAGCTCTGAGTTCGTGATGCGTTGGCAGACAAAATAGTTGGGTCGAAACTGGAGACAAGAAGATGCACTTTTCGTCTTTTTCCTGACCTTAACTGCTTGTGGCGACTTTTTCAGGATGTCCGTCACCTCACTGGGACCGGCGAAATCCATTTTGACTGCGGCCGACGGTTCTGACGGCGCGACCATTACCTTCTCCGGGTCGGAGGAATTCACCGTGACCTGACTTTCTTCAGCGGATCCGCCAAGCTGCCCAGAAGTCGCCATCTTCTTAGTTAAGGCTGACGCCAGCAATTGGGTGCCTAAGAGGACATAAACATAGGCAACATCCAGTGTATCGAAAAAATAAACATGCGTGAGGTTTTGGGACTACTTTTTTGAAGAATCACGGACAAAAGAGAAATAGGCCTGAGAAGTCAGGAATTAATGTTTTTTAACAATTGTCTTGTTAAACGTCGAGTGTAGGTTAGGAAGGGCGTATAAAAATTGCACAAGATTGTACCTCTGAATACAAACAACATTGATGCCTCCAAGGTCTCTGATGTGTCTGTCCTCTCTAAAGATGAGGCATCAACAAAGATCGAAGGTAAAATAACTAACGGTGCTGTTTCAGATTCTTTGCTCTGGTTCGCACAAGAATTCATGTCAGCCAGTTTGAAAGAACTTGCCAGAAGTATTTATCTATATAGTCTGATTCGATCAAGGCAAACTAACAGTCGGATCAATCAAGCACATAACTATTCTGGATTTCGGAATGTGACTTTGGTTCAGGGAAGGTGAACAAGAGGAGTCAAAACGATCGGTCTGCCTTACGAAGGCAAGGAGGATGAAGTCTCAGTGGCATTGATACTAATCTTTCAAATCCTGATCAGCTTTAAATGGCCAGTCCTTTCCCAGCTAGGAGATTGAGGATAAAGTACAGAGTCGATTTAACAGCAAAGGGTTTACCGATGACTGACATCGACCAGAGGGCAGATTGCCGGTTGAGGTATAAGCATTCGGAAGACTTTAAAAATAAAATGCGACTCGAAGTACTAGGCGATCTTCTTTCAAGAATGATTCATAAGTCCATTACAGTGTTCACAGTGGGGGACATTAGAAGAGAAGAATCAGGTTACCGCTTGTACAGAGGACTGTGATCCCAGGGTTAACGTAGCGCCAACACAGGTTTGTGTTCATCCAAGCGTCCACGTAGTGACACGGGGGCGGTCTCATTGAGAGAAAAAGGCATAAAATTGTGCGTGATTTAAGCGCAACAAACACCAAAGTTGACAACGGACAATAGCAGGCATGGGAAGCAGAATGTAACTGCTATTGAAATATATCATTACACAGAACGCGGGACTGATCGCAGCCTGAGGCATGGAAGACAGAAACACTATCAAAACCGCCACATATTACGTGCTTCCGAGGCAATGACACATGAAAGCAGAAGGAGAATGATTTCCAGGGGAGGAGGAGCGGGGAATAAGAACAGGAAAGTACGACATAAACTAAAAATATTTGTCGGCGGCAGCAACTGGTAGCGTAAGGGACATAGAGTAAAGGACAATCTACAGGTATCACCCCGAGTTGCCACTTTGCGCTCGTGTAGGCGGGTCTGGAATTTTCGTTCGGTTTCTCCAATGTATTATCAGTCCACATTATTGCAGTTTATCTTGTAGACAACCGCCGAAGTTTCGATGAGTGGTAGCATGTCCGCAGGTTGCATTAAACGACGACGAATTGTTGCCTCGAGTCGATGAGCTACGCTTACTCTGGTGACTTGTAACAGTCGAGAAGCCGCCCCGGAGGTTTCTTCAATGGGGGGAATGACCCTCCAGATATCAAATTGCTGCTCTTTTGGTTGTCATCTGTCCCCTCGGCTTTTAATCTGCTCAATAAAATTGTTTGGGCATTCATAGTCTCTAAAGGTATTGTCGCTCAGTTCTTTTGTTGGTTGGTGCGCTGCAGTGTGTTTCGACTCCCTGGGATAGTGGAGATACAGCCGCGTTTGTGAGACAGAGCTATTGCTGTTCAGAATTCCTCAAAAGCATCTATACCACGCAACCATCCCTCCAGTCCTGTTCTCTGCCACAGTTCGTCAACGGCCCACCTGTGAACACAGTGTTATTTACACCGCAGCTAGTTTTGGCAGAGTTAAATAAGTTAGATCCGATCAAGTCATCTGGATCAGATGAGATTCCAGGTGCACTCCTGCGTCAACTAGCTGAAGAGTTAGCAGAACCACACTGTATAATCTCCCAAAAATCACTCGAAGCTGGAAAACTTCCTCACACATGGAAGTTGGTAAATGTCGTACCCATCCATAAGGGAGCATCACGGCTATATCCCACCAATTACCGACTGACCAGCCTGACATGCACTTGCTGTAAGCTGATGGAAAGAATAGTCAAAAATCAATTACATTGTTCGATAGATTCGCTGTTATACTAGCTCAGCTCAACATGGTTTTTATACGAAGAGGTCCTGCCTCACAAGCCTGCTTACGTCGTTCGAACATCGGTTAAGGGCCATGGAGGAAGGACACCCAGTAGATGTCATTTACGTTGATTTCAGTGGGGCGTTTAATTGCGTTCCTTATAAGCGACTCATTCGAAAGTTGTCAGATGTAGGGATAAGAGGAATTCTCCTGAACTGGATTCAAGATTTCTTAAACGGTCGTAGACAAAAAGTTACTGCGGATGGCTACTGGTCAGAATGGGCGCCTATTAAGGGTGGAGTCCCACAAAGGTCAGTTCTTGGGCCACTCCTATTTATTATCTATGCAAATGATCTGCTGGGGGAAGTGAAATCGGATACAGTGTTCTTTGCAGATGATCTTAAACTAAGGAGGGTGATAAAAGATGAAAACGATTCCCAGATACTACAAGAGGACGTAGAGAATCTGCACACACAGAGCTAGAACTGGTGCATGAAATTCAACGTCCAAATGTGTGGTTATGCACACAGTATCAGCAAGATGAATAATAAATGCACCCTCACGACAGTATCTCCTAGAAAATCAACCACTTGAAACCGTAGATGTGCAACAAGACCCTAGCGTATTCATGAGAAACGACTTAAGCGCTTCCTTGCAGTGTTCTAAAGTCGGAGCGCGGGCAATGTCAACTATAAGCGCGATACGAAGAACGTTTCTTAACTTGGATGCAGATGTCTTCGGTATGGTATATGGGCATCTAAGCGGCAGCGCCTGGAATATGCGACACAGGCTTAGCGGCCGTGGCTTCGGAAGGATATAGATATTAGTGAAGGTATGCAGTGAGGTGCTACAAAGGCTGATCATGAACTCAACACTTTTACGTACTAGCGGCGCCTGCCCACCTTGAATATCTATCTTCCCTGCAGGCAGGACAGAGGTGACCTTATAGCAACGTTTCAGTTGCTCAGAGGACTCGATCTGGATTTCAAGAGGGAAACTCCTTCCGAAATAGCAGCAAAGACTAATCTCAGACGACACGATTGCTATCTTAAAAAGGGACTGTGCCACTCCAATCAACGCTCTTCCTTTTTCTCGCAGTCATTCGCCAATGAAATTCTTTGTCGACGTATGTCATAAATCCCCCTACCATGTGTTCAAGAGACATTTAGATAATCACCTGCTAAAAGTCGACCCGAAATCTCAAAACGTCACCTAGTAGATTACTGAAGTGACTTTTGACATAATACTAATGCGACCTAAACAGATCCTCTTGTGTACATTAGTCTTGACCCAGATGAAAATTCCACAGTGCGAATGCAGTGGAGGGTTTTCCGCCATTGTTTCGCAAATGGCGAAACTTTTTGATATTTATGCTTCATCATTAGTATTATGCATTCTGCACACTGACACTACATGCAAAAATCTTAGCAACTACTTTTCATGCATACCTGTACCGCTTGAATGGAGTTTTAAGGGCTTATGTCACTTGCTCCAAGCATACTGACTGGCTGAAACGCAATATCTGCCTTGTGTCGGTGGCTTTTCTGAATGCTGTTACACACCGACTCATAAGAACGTCGAGTAAGGAAAGGTGGCTGTTCGCATGGGCTTCCACTGTGAATTGGATATTCATATGAGTCGAGTTCAGTAATTCCCTAAGGTACTCAATGCGTGTTGTTTTGACAACGGCGAGAGCGCTACGACATGACGAGCCCAGAACTTTGGTTGATATTCGGTGGATACCAAGTGTCCTATCCGTTGAGGGACCAATTTAGCAATCAGGTCTGATTGGCGAGGGGGGAGCATAGGAGCGCCTTCAGCTTGTTTGCACTCTTGTCCACCAGAGGCGAAATAAGTAGTAAGGCAGTATCATAGAAACCCGAGCAGATGTTTGGACTTCAGAAGTTCCTATCTCGTCATGGCAGCCAGCCAGTAGTTGCTTCACGGTGTCTATCGCTATTTGTTGTGAAATCGAGGTGAAGAGTGAAACGACATCAAAAGATACCACGGACTCATCCGGCCCTGGCTCCAGATGTTTTATGCGTTCAGCAGATCCGCAGAGCCTACTGATATTGGCGAGCCTTCGCAAGGAACTTAAGGTAACTGAACATCCATTTTGTCGTACCATATATAGGAGTGCCCCGTAGGGTGACGATGGGCATGAGTGGCACGTTTGTCGTATGTACCTCCGACAACTATGTATCATCAGATGCAGTCGCAGATAAGGGTGATGGGGATACAAGGAGTGCAGTACTTGTAGGACGCAGTTGCCATGCAACCACACGCCTACTAGGAATAGTGAGTCTGAAGCCGTCAGTAAAGATCGTAATTGATGCGATGATTGCTTGGTACTCTGCACTCGAGTCGCTGACTGCCAAACTTCGATCACCGTTATGGGTTTTTGGGGTTATAATTACTCAAAAATTTGGCTCACTTTCAGCAGAACTGTCGTTCACTCCTGCCTTACTGCATGACTAAGTAGTCTGCCCAGACAAAGTCGTAGCGCAGAATATGGGTGCGAGAGGCTGCTGCGCATGCTGATCGACTGAGGGCCGGAGAACCATGAAGCAAGCATTTGTCTCCTGCGAACATTTCGGTTTACGGGCAGTACTTCCCGATTAATGACAGCTCATGGCTATGTCATCGTCTGGGCTGGCTCGAAATCGGAGCGCCAATATGAAAAGGAACACACACATTTAGCTTTGCACTCCTGACAGACCGATGAAGGCCACTTCTGTGCGAGTTTAACGAAAAGAAGATCTGTGCAATGATTTACCGTACTAACAACACAGGTATTAGCTAAAAGCCCAGACACGCGTGTTTCGCCGATCTTATGCCGCTGCCTGACACAGCTGCGAGGGGTTCGGCTCGTCAGTGGGTCCCCCAGCTGTCCCCGTGTGTTTTCTGGTATATGAACTCCAGTTTTAACTTGCCTTGAAAAGAAGATCGACAACTAGCCCCAAGTCAAAAAATCAGAGGGTTCTCATATTCTTCTGTCAAAATTGTGAGGTTTCGCTTTATCTCCCACCCTTCTAAGACATGCACGACTGACATAGGATTAATTTGGAGATCGACGGGCTACAATAGTCGGAAAAGGTTAATAGGGCAGTCAACACATGAAACACATCTAGATGAGACATCAATTCGGCGGGCCGTCTGTCGAAAGAGCTAGTTAAAAATAAGCTGAAAAAGTGGGCGGTTGGCCAGCGCACAGGAGCGGGAGATTTGAAAAGTCAGTTTGCGCCTGCTAGATTTCTGGGGTCCAGTCTAGTTGGGGGATCATCAAGACTTTAAAATGGTACGAAATACATGACTTCCACTCTACTCCCAATAATTCGACAAGTTATATGGCGCAAAAAGAGGATTTGGTATTGTTCAGTGCTGAAGTTTATGGCGGTTAAGAAGGCTGAATTGCCTTTCTGGCGTGCACATGCGTCTTCAACTCTGATGACGTTCCGGGGCCAGAAATCAAAGGGTGAGTGAGACTTCAATGTACCCTAGAGACCGCGGCTCAAGCAGCGACAGTTTTTGGCACACACAAATATATCTGTGATGAATCCGCACCAGTTCAAAGGAGCAGTCGGCAACCCATAGTGGCAGGCGTAAGTCAAGACCAAATACCTAGTGAATCGCCCCACCTGACCTCGTCTTCAGACGTCCTGAGTGAACGTCGTCGTTGGAGCCGGCTGGAAGAAAATGGCGATCCCTCTCAGCCGGATAACAGATTTCACGTATGGTTAAACATACACTGATATGCTAGGAGTTACAGCTAGGAAGATTGCCAGTGGACGAGGTCGGCTGAGCAAGGCAACGCGGCGACTGGTCCCTTCCAAATGTGGCTTCAAAAGCATATAGGAGCGTGTAAATTCTGGTTTTGTCGAATATTTCAAATCGGTAAGGCCTTAGGCTAGGGAAGTCTCCAGCTAAAACTTGCCAGTACAACATGACAAAAATGAGAATAGCGAACAAGGCCGCTGCCGCTGAAAGTTTACTATGAGCGAAGTCACGCAGAAGTCATCTACACCAACACTCTCTACAACCAAAAATCAGACCGAAAACTTCCAAATAATCTGAAAATGGACGGGGCGAAACACTGGGGCTCACAGCTGCAAACCCGTATACGTGCGACCCAGGCTACTGCGGGCATTTTTCAACAGACACAGTAGATGTGCTAACTCATGAAATGTCAGCCAAAATTTCGAAATGCGTTCTCGTTTCGAAAAGAAAAATTAAGTAGTGTTGTAAAACTAATCATGATGCAGCATAAATCTATAATGATCCAGTTACCTTAGGTTGTCGGCTTTCGAAAAAAACTTATTTCCGGCTGCATGCAAGATCTATACTCTGCAAAAAGTGACTACTTAATTAGTACGCAATTTTCTCATTGATTTTCAATGCCCTTGAAAATTCAATTACATTTCATGGAAAACATGCATAAAAATATTCATTCTTTTACTTATTCGGTAGAAAATCACGTCTTCGTCCAATTTCATACTCAAAAGAAGAGTATAACTCGGTTTTAAAAAACTTTTCTAATTCCCGAATAATTTTGAACCCGACCTGCTGTTACACTTGCATTCAGGGTTTCAAAACTACAAGCTGTATATTTTCCGTGTACGGAAAACCATGCATTTCTCTACGGTGTTAAGAGCAGACCATATGAGGTTCATAAAATTAAGCAGTGGATTTAAGTAATATTGTTAACTTTACGAGCCACATTCGTAAATGCAGATACATGACGTTTCATGAACGGCCATTTAACGGTATTAAAAAATCTCACAATTATAAACTTTTTTAAAACCGAATTATACTCTTCTTTTGAGTATGAAATTGGAAGAAGACGTGATTTTCTACCGAATAAGTAAAAAATGAATATTTTTATGCATGTTTTCCATGAAATATAATTGAATTTTCAGGGGCATCGAAAATCAATGAGAAAATTGCATACTACTTAAGTAGTCATTTTCTGCAGAGTTTAGATCTTGCATGCACCCGGAAATAAGTCCTTTCGAAAGCCGACACCCTGAGGTAACTGGATCATTATAGATTCATGCTGCATCATGATTACTTTTACAACACTGCTTAATTTATCTTTTCGAAACGAGAACGCATTTCGAAATTTTGGTTGACATTTCATGAGTTAGCACATCTACTGTAGCAATGGAATGCAACAATCATCAGCACGTCTAAACAACGCTATTCCAGGACGCACTGAGGGGGTGGGAGGGTGCCATAAGTATGCTTATTTCCCTTCCCTATTTATCAGCGAATTGTTCACCCAAATGGTGCTGTTGCATTACAAACAATACCAATATCGAACATGGTTGAAGGGCCTGTTGCCCTTCAGAAAAAAATCAGATGCTTGAAAAGGACAGCTCTCGTCGATCTTGAATACCGATTTGTCATGGGCATCGGTGTTTTCAGAAAAAATAGTCCTTCAGAGGAACACTTAGTAAAGTTGGATGATCGCCGAAAAAAAGAGCGAAACGATAACGCAGCTGGGTTAGTAGAGCTCCCAAGGAGGAGACCGCCAGGAAACTGACAGGTTTGGCAGAAGGCATAAACAACCCATTGGCCACATGGTGGCAGACATCATTAGCGAAGAACTTCATCAACGCCTACACACCAGTGATGACACGAGGGAGTTCTAAAAGAGTCACAACCGTTCTGTGTAGTTAATGCAGAAGGCAAATTAACCCACCAACCTACGAGACTTCAGCGCATAAATAGGCCCAAGGTCTGTGAACTAGCAGTGATCCATAGACACGAAGTCGGCAGGTCCAACAGGAACGCATCTCCAGGTTGACCTACACCAAGCACAGTCATTCACAAACACTGTCTTCCAAACCACAAATGCCGAGTAGTGCTTCCGTCTCTACCAAAATGGTTTCAACATCATCTCCGATCGACACTGCATTGCAGTCACTAAGCGATCAGGTCAGTTTACTGTGAGTCAAAAATTGCTGTTACCATCTACTGGAGCTGCGGTCAATTCTTCGAAATCATCCGCGATTAATCTACTTATACGGAAACACATTACGCCAATTATACCCTTACCTGCCGATTCTGATGGCTGGGCTATATGTTGCGCCTATACAAACGCGAAATCAGTCGAAATGCCATACTTATCAAGCCTGATTCTGACTGGCAAATGCGTTTAGGTAGGTCTTGTCAGCAACTTAGGAGTGAATTTCTGATTCTCAACACAGCAAAAAGGAATAACACGAACCAAGCGGATCCCCCGACGTCACCTCAGATGAGCGACGTGGAGGAACAGCCATGGAGAGGCAACATCACGTTAGAAATAAGTAGGTTCAGAAAGGCAGCAGTGAAAGGGTAATTCTAATTAGAACTATACAACTGTCGGGGAACGAGGGGAGAGGCATAGACACTAACGTCTGCAGCGGTTCTTATTTAGTGGTGTAGACTAGATAACATCTTCTTGAACTTCTCCAGGGAGTATGTGACGGACCGAAAGATGCCAGCAGAAAAGACCCCCAAAAGGGTCTGTCGATAGCTAGCCCATCGGACCACAGAGGCTGCGGTGGCTGACAGCAAGGCTGAGCGCTGTTCAAAAGGCAGACTCCGAAGGTGATAGCGCGCTGCCGCCGCGTCAGCAGGTGGGCCAACACCAGCGGAGGACGAGAGGCAGAATTCGTTTGGCAGGTAGGTAAGAAGGCAGGGAATGTATTCACGGCTGTCTGTAAAGCGCGGCCTGACAATGAAGTCCGTGGTTAGATTAGATGGAACGACAACATCAAATAATTCACTGAAGGGATCCGCGTGGAGGTAGGGCAGGTAGAGGCTGCGAAAGGCTTGTCGCCGTGACACGCCAGTTATGAGGCGTTCTATCTTTCTTCGATCCTCACCAAAGTAAAGGCGCCAGTCACCACGATAAGAGATGCTGGCTAGACTACGATAGAGCTCGGTCTCAGATAAAGGACCCGAATGGTCAAAGTCGTGCTGCAGCAGAACAAAGGCCAGAGCGCTGGTGAGATTGTGTGAAAGGGCCACAGAGAAGGCAGAACTGTCATGTTTAGGCAGCGGTTTGACTGGAATCCAGATGACGGGTTTGTGTAGGCGTCCTGCAATGTATAGATCGGACCAGGAGTTGAGGTCCTGGAGCAGGCGGGAAAGCCCAACAACACCGTACTTAATTAGTTGAGGCGGAAAGCTATTACTGGGGTCAGTCCATTTGACGAGGGGATTGTAGTACACGGCTGGGTTGGGCCACTTGGACACGGCAAGCTTCAGGAGCTTCTGATTAAAGCGCTGTGAAATCCTACTGTAGTGGTGTGGGTTCTTTGCACAGTTTTCTAAATGCCAGGAGAGCGGGTCCTCAACAATGAGGACAAGGTCTAGTTGGGAGTTGGCAGTGCTACGACCGTGCTGCGGAATGGCAACTGAGCCGTAGCCGAAGGCGGAGAAGAGGCCACAATTTCGGGGAAAGGCGGTCTGAACAATGGTTTGTAGAAGGGACACACAGGAAGCGCTCATCCTACTGACTGCGTTTGTAATGGGGAGTAACAGTGGAGATGCCTGATATACGACCTTGTTCAATGTCTTCTAGTCGACGTTGTCCTTGGCGGACAAGGGCTTCTATGCGGAAGATATCGGTCTTTTTGAGAGCAGCTACGTTCTTCCTAAACTCCGCACGTACGGCTTCACGCAGAGCAGGTCTAGATTCTGCTGCAATTTTTGCTGTGCTGTTTGGTCCGAGCGCTATCATAAAACTTTTGTATAAGCTGAGGACTTGTCTCTGAAGTTGGCTATATCGAGGCACCATTTCTACAGAAGAAGACAACAACAGTAATATAATGCGTTTTAATGAAGCAGAGAGACAAACTTAGCGGAAATAACGTCAGCGGATACGTCGGCAAACTGTACAACATAAAACGGGATCTGCTTAAGTCAAAAAATCCCCTGGTTAATAAACCATATAGGGGCTGAAAAACCGTCAGTTCTAACCGTCCTCAATATTCCCCTAAGCAGTTTAATCGGCCAGGCGAGTGACCGACACGCCACGTTAGTCTTCGTCATCCTTTACCGTTGGTTTGAAGAGGGATGAGTTTTTGGTTGTCTGGCCCAATATCACCAGTTAGTTATACGGTAAATCAGATAGCTTGAGCGGCTCCCAGGAAGGCGGAGTTTGCGATGGTTTACCATCCAGTTAACCGCTTTTAATGGGTATAAAGTAAACAAAGCATGGAGGATTTTGAACTGCCTTGCCTTACGATGCACATATTCATACTTAGCGTGTTTTATGTGTCCCGTCACAATCTATGTAGGACGGCTTCGACAGGACAGACCCCAGGCTTTGAGGTGTGGTCTGTCGTCACAAATACTGCGATGCACTGTCTTACTTTGACTGGCCACTTAGGGCAACCTGGTTCTGTCCTCTAATGGTAATGTGGTCGGCTAAAGGGATGGAGGGGTGTCTAGTTGTAAGTCCACGTGCTGGTGGCAACAGGTCGCTCACTTGCTTACAGGTGTAGACTACGCCCAGCGTCAATTAACTAGCACCAAACTGTCACATGTGACTCCTAGAAGCTAGACTCCGCCTGGTCGCCGCACCCTGGTAACCGCCTCGACCGGCGTGCTAAACCAGGTTAAGGTATCCAGGTGTCTCCACATCCAGTGATTCTGCTGCTCTCCTCCTCCACCCAGGTACTCATAAATCACACAAGAGTATGCCTACTTCCGCCAACTTCGGAAGATGAAGGCAAAATCGGCCAGGGATGACCGGAAGCAATATTGGGCTGAAATAGCGACATCCATGGAACAGGCCTCGAACGTTGGTGACACTCGAAAGCTCTATCGTCTGATCCGCCAAGTTAGCGGTAAGCCCTCTACACTGAGTGACTCTGTTCGCGATGTAAACGGCGGCTTTATTGCTGACAACTCGGCCAAAGTCGAGCGCTGGCGTGAGCACTTTGAGCACCATCTCAACTTCGATATCCAACCTACATCGCCCTTGCTCTCCTCCTCAGCGGAGTTTCTTCCCTCTCCTACCTATGCAGTGCCATGCGATCCCCCCTCCGAGGAAGAAGTCGCCGATGCCATACGAAAGTTGCGCAACAATAAGGCACCCGGAGAGGACGGTATACCCGCTGAAATCTTTAAGTCTTGTGTCGACACTCTGGCGCCCTGGCTCCATGAGGTGATTGAACGAGCGTGGAGAGACGAGGTTGTTCCTGATGACTGGGGCTTAGGCATCCTTGTACCTATCCTCAAGAAGGGAGATAAGACGAGATGCGAGAACTACCGCGGCATAAGTCTCATCGACGTTGCTGCGAAGATCTGTGCTATTGTCCTACTCAGGCGATTCCAGGCTGTGCGTGACTCAATGACGAGGCCTAACCAAGCCGGATTTCGTGCTGGACGTGGATGCGCAGATCAGATATTCACACTGAGGCGCATTCTCGAATTTCGCCATAGCTACCAACAACCGACGGCCGTCTGCTTCGTTGACTTTGCCGCCGCGTTCGATTCCGTTCACCATGAGTCCCTGTGGCGGATAATGGCGCTAGATGGTGTACCGGCAAAAATCATCGCCATGATCAAGGCCTACTATCGTTCCACTACTGCGATAGTCCTGGTCCGTAACAATCTTTCCCAACCGTTCGGTATTCGGTCTGGCGTCCGACAGGGTTGTATCCTGTCTCCCATACTGTTCAACTACGCTATTGACTGGATCCTCGGGAGGGCCCTACGCGACAGTGACGGCGTTGAATTTGCACCCGGACATCGACTGACTGATCTCGACTATGCCGATGATATCGCCTTACTTGCTTCAAGTTTTGGTGATCTGCAGTCTATGGTGTCACGAGTGAACGAGGTCGCTAAATCAGTCAGTTTGTCCATAAACGCTGGGAAGACCAAAGTATTCTCACGCTACATCCCTGACCAGGAGAAGGCACCCCTGGGGATTGATGGCTGTCAACTTGAAGAAGTGGACAGTTTTAAATACCTCGGGGCGAGGCTGCTGCCTAATGGACAGAGTAAGGATGACATTGTCTCCCGAATCGATGCTGCCCGCTGGGTTTTTTCAAGCCTTCGGAAATGCCTGTGGAACCGACGCGACCTCTCCGTCGCCACTAAGATTCGCGTGTACCGTGCATCTGTCCGGTCTGTCCTTCTCTACGGTTGCGAATGCTGGGCTTTGCGCGTGGCGGATGAGCGAAAACTGGAGGTATTTGACCACGACTGCTTGAGGATCATCCTTCGAGTGAAGTTAACCGACTTCGTCTCAAATGAGATAGTCCGCGCTCGCTGCGACAACATCGCGAGGATAACTCAGGCCATCCAAGAAAGACGACTGAGGTGGTTCGGGCATGTGCTTCGTCGTCCACCTCAGGAGCTCAGTGTTACTGCCCTCGATCCGGCACCGTCGCCCCATTGGAGGCGTCGAAGAGGGGGTCAGTTCGAAACCTGGCTCGACACTGTCCGTCAAGACATGGAGGTGGTTCTTGGACCTTCGGTATTCGGTCTCCGTCGTTGGCAAAGGGAATGGGTTGAGCTGTCTAGATCAGCTGCCGCGGATCGTCACGCGTGGAGAGGTACAATTCGCGACATCATCGAGGCCGGCTAGATCAGGCATGATCGCAGCCGTATCAAGTACAAGTACAAGAGTCAAAGTAGGCCAGAAGGGAGCGGAGGAGACCGGGCGAATGAAAAGGACAGATGACAATACGACCGTCGTTATCGGTGATGTTCATCGTGTGCTCCACAGCAGCGTGACCGGCGTTGTGGGCATTCGCACGTCCGTAACGTTGTCTCCCCACCCAGTACAACTACTCCCTATCCTCATCCCTTCTTTCCCTTATCTCCTCCCACGCTCCTCTCTTCCCCCACAGTGGAAAAGCCCTACGGCGAGGGCGACATGCAATCACGTGGGTGGCTCAGGTCAATCAGGTCGTTCTCTCAATAAACCAATACGTGACCCATAGTAGAGTTCAGATACCGTCTGGGACGACTAGGAAACTGGGACGACTACGGCAACGCTAATCCCCGCAAGGAAGAGGAAGCCATAAAAAGTGCTCTAAACAAATGATGACTTTACAACATCTCCGCACATACCGTGGTCCGCAGACTGCAATACATGCGGTCGAAACAGCTAAACAAGAAACAACAATATGTCCCCTCCCCTCATCCCCTCCGCTCCACTTTACAGGCTGGTACGGTGAGTCCGCTCATCCAGGCAGCCCTAAATGTTTGTTCCCTTTTAGATAACCCCATGAGCAACCGACCGGGGAGAAGGACAACACTAGTAGCTCGACAACTGGCGTGCTATAAAGTGGACATCGCTGCACTCAGCAAGACCCGGTTATCCAAAGAAGGCCAACTGGAGGAGGGGATGCCGACTACACCCCTTGGAGCGGTCGCCTCCAGGGCTGAGCGACGGGACGTCGATGTCGCCTTCGCCATCCGGGAGCGAAATCGTGGGAGGACTGCCCCGTAAGCCACACGGCACCAATAATCGTCAACCTCCCTGGTACGGCAAATTCGCCACTATCATCAGCGTCTACGCTCCCCCGATGACCAACCCTGACGTGACAAGGAACAAATTCAACGAACACCTGCATGCACTTCTGACGTCTGTGCCTAGAGCGGATAAGTTGATTCTCCTTGGTGACTTCAATGTTCGCGTCGGCACAGAGCATGCTGCCCGGAAAGGAGTGCTGGGTCCCAATGGTCTCGACGCTTTCAATGACAATGGCCCGCTCCTCCTGCGAACCTGCGCTGAGCACCGCTTTCCGACGCAGGAGAAGGCCACCTGGATGCACCCTCAATCACACCACTCGCACCTGCTGGAGTATGTCCTCGTTCGGAGGCGAGACCAGCGGGACGTGCTGATGACAAAGGCCATCTCGGGTGCCAAAGGGTGGATTGACTATCACCTCGTCATCTCCGAGATGAGGATTCGCCTACGGGCACTCAAGAGACCTCAAGACGAGTGACGACCAGGCAAGTTGAATACACTTTCGTTTATTATGCCTGCCTATCATCTCTATTTCAACAACGGGCTGGCTCATCAGCTAGCCAACCTTTTAGTCGCCATCGATAAGGACGTCTCCGTGGAAAACTGATGATGTCAACTGAGGGACACGATTCAGTCAACAGCCCTGATTGTTATAGTCTGCGCACGCCGCCAACACCAGGACTGGTTCGATGACAACGGAACCGCCACCAGCAACCTGGTCGCCGAAAAGAACCGTCTTCACAAAGTCTATGTCGGTTGCCCCACCGACGACAAAAAAACAGCCTTCTACCGTAGTCGTCGCCTCGTACAGCGGCGGCTGCGCGAGATGCAGGACGCTTGGGCGGCTCGCGGGACCGAGGTTACGCGGACTGAAATGAATGGAAGAACTTCGTCGCGATCACGGCTATTTACGGTCTCACAGCCAAAGGAGCCGCTACTCTTCTCAGCGCCGGCGGAACTACACTACTCACTGAGAGTGCGCACATTTTGAAGCGCTGGGGCAAGTACTTCAGAGGTGTCCTAAACCGTCCCTCCACCAGTTCCGACACAGCCATAAAACGATTACCTTAAGCGGAGACCAACACCAACATCGACCTTCCCCCCTCTATCCACGAAACCATCAGGGCCGTGCAGCAAATCTACAGCCGGAAAGACCCGGGTTAGATGCGATTTTTGCCGAGATACACAAGCACGCTGGCCTCCAACTCATGGATCACCAGACAGTGCTCGTCCAGATGTGGCGTCAGGGAGATGTCCCTCAGGATTTCCAGGCCACATTTTTCCATTCATACAAGGGAAAGGGAATCGTCAACTCTGCGACAACCACAGAGGAATCTCGCTGTTCAACATCACCGGAAAGGTCTTTGCTCGCATCCTTCTCAACCGTCTCAACAGCCACCTGGAATAGGGTCTGGTGTCGGAAAGCCAGTGCGACTTCCGCAGTCATCGTGAAACCACCGACATGAGCCTCGCTGTCCGCCAACTGCAGGGGAAGTGTCAGGAGATGCGGATCTACCTGCACTCTACCTTCGTGGATATGACGAAAACCCTCGACACGGTGAATCGCGCAGGACTGTGGAAAATTATGCAGAAATTCGGCTATCCTTAGCGATTCACTCAGACGGTGCGCCAGTTTCACGATGGCATGACGGCACGCGTCACGGACAATGAAACCGTCTCAGGGACATTCGCAGTGACCAACGGAGTGAAGCAGGACAGCGTCCTCGCGCCTACCTTTTTCGGTCTCATGCTCTCTGCCATACTGGTGGACGCCTACCGTGACAAACGCCCCGGGATCCGCGTCGCTTGTAGGATAGATGGCCAACTCCTCAATCAGCGGCGGATGCACTTTCAGTCGTGTGTGTCCATAACTACCGTTCACGAACTTCTCTTCGCCAATGATTGAATTCTCAACGGAACCACGGAAGTGGACATGCAAAGGAGCATTGACCTCTTCGTCACCGCCTGCGACAACCTCGGCCTGATCATCAACACGGAGAAAACGGTGGTCATGCACCAGCCGCCACTCAACGCTGCCTGCAATACACTTCACAAAAACACCAACGGCGCCCAACAGCAAACCGTGAACATCTTCACCTACCTAGGCTGCACCCTCTCCCGCAACACCAAGACCGACGATGAATAGGCCGCCGGATTTCCAAAGTCAGCCAAGCCTTCGGCTGTCTGCAAAAAACACCGTTTGGGACCGTCACAGTCTACATCTGAACACTAACCTGAAGATGCGCAAGGCGGTCATCCTGCCGACGCTGCTGTATGGAGCGGACACCTGGACGGTGTACAAAAAGCAGGCGCGAAGACTCAACCACTTTCACCTCAACTTTCTTCGACGGATACTAAAGCTGAAGTAGCAGGACCGGATCCCGGGCACGAATGCACTGGAGGAGACGGGAATCCTCAACATGTAAGCCATGCTAAGACAATCGCAATTGCGCTGGGGTGGCTACCTCGTGCGGATGGACGAAGAGCGGTTGCCTGAGCGATTCTTCTACGGAGAAATCGTCAGGGGCCCTCGTCGACAAGGTGGCCAAGTCCGGCGCTACAAGAACACTCTGAAGACCTCTTTGGAGCGCCTGCAGATCAACCCGGCCAACTGGGAAGACCTCGTCCGGAACCGACCGGTCTGAAGAGGGACAGTGAAGACAAGAGTAGCAATCTACGAAGCCAACCGCCACCATAGCCAAACGCGAAGCTCGCAAATCTCAACTGTCTGCGCCTCGTAAAGTCAACACTCAACCATCCTCGACATGCTCACGGTGTAAGCGAACGTTCCGGACACAAATCGGTCTTAATGGACAACTTCGGACCAAATGCAGCACCCGGAGGACGCCGAATGACGACTGCACGTCCACCTCTGTGCCGACCCCCGCGTGGACAATAAACCCTAGCAGTGCTCCTGATGCCCCATCGCCATCCTCCACCATCTTCCCCACCTCAACCTCTGTGGCAGCGGCTCCTGCCCCCACTACCAATGCACTCGATTCTGACGCACCGTTAACCATCGACCTCACCACCCCCAACACAAGTGATGTGGACTCGGTCCACACCTGTCCTCATTGCGGTTGCACCTCCATCTCACACATCGGCTTGGTCGACCACTTGTAAATCCATCGCATAGAGACTGGCAAACCAGTGCCTAGAGCACTCACATACACTCGCCACATCCGCCTCAACTGACCTCGCACATTCAGCCACCGCACGAGCCTATTGGGTGACATGCGCACTCATTAAAACCTGATGTAGACCACCACTCGCCATACCACACTCTCACAACTTCGCCCACCAGCATCTGCACCACACATCCTCATCAACCATCGCCTCACAACGCAAGCACCAAATAGACACCTCTCACTTAAATGGGGAGTGTGCTTCTAGGTCCCCTCTTCATGTGGCTCCTCTGATGTATGTGTGATCCGAGTCTGAGACTATCATGGTGTGCCAAACGTCGTGGCTTTTAAGGTTGCCGACTGACGCCTCAATTTAGTTCACACGGTCAGCCCAGTTGCATGCTTTCGTGCGGAGTGGCAGACTGGCTGCAACGGCTCCTTCTTAACGTGACCTCTGGCACTCTCACGCATGTGACGAGTGTGTATATGGGTAGTGCCTCTCAGTCAATGACTGACTGCCTCTCCGGCCGTTGAAGTGTGATGGCCAAGGCCAAATGCAGGACTGCGTCTCTCCTTCTGGGCTTTAAGGATTGTGTACGTCTGCTATGCCATGACTCGCAAACGATGATCCTCGCAGCCTGGTGTGCGCTGGCAGCTCTCTGGCACCCGGCCGCCTGCCGGTGGTGGCGCTTGCGCCCCCGTTGGGTTGTGTGCATGGTTGCCCAGTTATTCTCCTACTCCTCTTTCCAGCCCGTTATTTTGTTTTTGAAGCAAACATACAGAAAATAATTCATTGGAACCAACAAATTCCGCGACGGCTTATCAACTGCAGCGGGTCGCTGTATAACAGAGATCCCGAATGAGAAAAATGCAGAGATTTAAACTCCCACTGAGAAAGTGAATATAAAACAGCAAGGTCACCGTTTACTGCACGCAAACTAACGAATAAGAATGGTATCCCAAAAACACAACTTAGGAAGAAAAATGGGGAAGTTAGCACGCGGAGGAGTGTGCAAATCAAAGAACTGAGATTTGCCAGGAAAAGCTGAGGTTGACCACGTGGTCCAACTGTCTGCATAGGTGGGGTTTCTCCCGCCGCATGTAGGTTGCCTCCAAATAGTACAATATCCAAGTTGTTCGTGCCCGAACTAAGACTCGGAAGCATGTTTTGTGGTCAACACAGTGACAGCTATCTAGGAGGTGCTTCATGATAAAAGTATAAGGAATTATATTTTCCTGCTTTAGAAGCCATTTAGACAGGGGCTCAACTGACCTGGCTCCCAATTGCCTTTGCGTTCGCCAAATTTACTTGCATCAACAAGCGCATGTGAATTCGTAAACACGATTTTAGAGGGTTTGGAATGGCAAGGCAACCTTTGGCGATGGAATTGGGATAGCCTTAGTGGGACTGGTGAGTATGAGTTCGGCTGCGTTTTATGTTGTTTCAATGGAGTATCTCAATAGTCGCTTAACGGAATTTGAAATGCTGTCACCCTTAAAAGGTGACAACACTTTAGTCAACTCAATGTCCCATGGCTTGGTGAGTGAGAGTAGATTGATATTTTATGCCGATATTGATTACGCCTCACTTCAGATGCTTCGGTGTCATAAAATCGTGGCAGAATACCATAACCGAGGTCCTGAAAGGAGACATTCGAACTTAGCTGAAGTCTACAGTTCACAAGGGCCGCGCAAGTATAGCTGAATACATCCACAAGCGTCGCGATTAATGAATGAGCTCCGAGACAGTATAGCTTTTCGTCCAGACAATTGGGGTTAGATTCCGAAGGGATTACTTCCCTTACCAACTCCGCACAGTAACGGCAAAAACTAAGCGGACAAGGGGCTCTAACATGGTATGAATCTACAGATTCATAAGTCACGCGTACCTACGTGTCGTTGGCATCTCGAAAAGGATTGAAGTAAACACGGCCACAGTTAGTTTTGATGTCGTACAACCCAGGTCCTGCAGGACATCTTACCTATAGCTAAGAGCTATAGCTCTGGATATGCTGGCAGGAGGTAGCCAATATAATATTAGCAAGCACACGCACAAAAGCAACAGAAATCGAGTATATTGACAGGAACTACTGAAATCACGAGTGAGAGCCAGTAATTAGAAGAATATAGAACAAAGGCAAAAAATACATACAAACATAGCAAGATTAAGCGACAAACACGGTTGGGGCTAGTTTGCTCGTCCGGCCAACTTCCAGTCTAGTAAAATCAAACTAGAACGTTTCCACAAATTCCTCTCGGACCTCCCCGAGTTCTTATTGAGGTATTGTTTCCCACTATTCGTTTTGCTCCTTTGTAATACCTGAACCGTCCGGATGTTCTACATAAAAGGTTCCTTTGTGGGAGATAGTTGCCTCCCGTCACCGTGTGGGAATGTCATCCTGAGTCTGTAAAACCCAGGAGTCCTTGGTTCGGTAGGTGCGAAGTCACAACGCTCCTTTTATCTTCAGTCTCGTTGCTCTGATGATTTTCTTTCGCTTCAAGCACTGTCGATTACCACAAACAGTAGAGAAAATTCGACTCAGGACAATGTTCAAAAAACTCGCCACAAATGGGATTCGAACTCAGGTGCCGCCGCGGGGTGACCAGCGAGATCATCTCTAGACCACCAGCGCAAGGCGAGCAGGCTGAAATAAATAAATCAGCAAACATTATTCGTAGTACAAACGACTGCAACTCTGTATATATCGCTGTCAAGTCACCTCCCGCTAAACGAGCAGAGTTTAATAAGCCGTATGGATATCAAATACGAAGATGAGGCCTGTAATACATGTTTTGGACTCCTACAAGAATTCGCGGAGATGGACAAGGAGATTTAGGGCCTAAAAATGGAGATGGAGAGGCTGAGAAATCTCCCTTGCTTTTCCTCCAAAGAGAATCAAAGTGAGCGAACATACGCAAACACGGCTTCCTCGGCTGTGCTGACAGAGGTGAAAGAAAATAGTAGGTCTCTAGAGTTCGATATAAATTACAACCAGTGTCTCGTGCGAGAAAAGGGGGACCAGACGCGATCACAGCAGACAAAAAGATGTCTCAGAGCACCTCGAAAAGGCTAAGAGAGTCAGACAAGGGAGCAAGAGTTGGCTACACCGTAGACAAAAATCGTGCAGCTGAAAATGCCAAATGATCACAAGATCGTAGTAAACAGGCAGTCATGCGTTAGTCCTACCGAATCGAACCTTCCTAAATCGCTGAATGGTGGTAGTCGGAATATCCGTGATGAAGTCCCTGCATGTATGATTAAACTACAAGGCCCTCTAGTTGATCGCAGTAAATGCATTGTCATAAAGGACATTCCTGAATCTGTTTCCGACGCTCCAAAAGACAGAATACAACAGGACATAGAAATATTCCAGGAATATCTCAAATCGATCTTAATAAGAGACGAAAAAGTCACAGTATTAAAGGCTTTCAGGATGGGCAAAATTAAAGACTCAAAACAAGATCCAGACCGACCGAGACCGTTAAAAATTGTCTTTGAGAATTACGAACAAGCGCAGCTATTTTTGAGCAGGAAATCTGCGCTTCAACATGCCCATCCATCGTTTTTTTCAGCGAGACTTTTCACCCGCGGAGGGAGAAGAATGGAGGGGGCTCAAATTGGAAGTCTTCAGGCGGTGGAGTCTGGGAGAGACAAATCTCAGAATAGTGGACGGAAAAATTATACGCGCCCAGAGGCCATTCCTCTGGATAAAGCCCATAACTCTAACAACTTAGGAGTGATGGAAAGCAGTCCATCCCGATCAGCTCCGACCGGCTTTTGCATTCAATCCCAGGAAATGGACAAACGCCTGTATGCCGGAGATGCTCGTGCCAAATTGAGATTTTTGTATACTAATGCTCAAAGTCTCGTTTCGAAGACAGACGAACTCAGAGCGATAGTTTCAGAACGAATCCCCGACGTTATCGCCATAACGGAAACTGGGTTTACTGCCGAAATCGTGGATGCTGAGATTTCGATACCGGGTTACTAGCTGTTTCGTAGAGACCTTCAAAGTAGATAGGGCGGTGGGTAAGTCGTATATGTAAGGGCAGGAATTTCGGCAGTTGAACGAGCCCACACCCTTTCCCTTGAATATGAATCCGTCTGGATAAAAATAAAGAAGAGTAATGTACAAAACCTAGAATTCCTGACGAGTTACAGACCACCAAACCTTCCGAATGCAGCTGATGAGTCGCTCCTTCATTTAGTCAAGGACGTAGCTAGCCATAAAGAGGTTCTTATTGCTGGGGATTTCAAAGCACCTGCAATAGAGTGAAAAACTATGGTAGTTAACGATGGGCCAACTTCCGAATCGGCCGGGACTGAACGTCTGCGTGGTCATCCCTTCAAACTGCAGAGCAAGCCGGCCCATAGGGACATCCGACGGAACGCCTTCTCACAGAGGGTCATTGGAGCATGGAACGAACTCCTCATTGCAGTGGTTCTTTCCGAAACTGTCGAATCCTTTAAGTGCAGACTGGACGCTCATTTGCTGAGAAACCACTGTAAATATAATCACGATTGTTCTAGCGGCGTTTTGTGCCTGGCTCACACTTACCGCCAACTTTTGAATTTCCGCATTTGCTGATGTAATTATTGATTCTATTTCTGTTTATCGATATGAATAGGGAGCTCAAGGGCGAAAGTCTCATTCCCTTAATAAACTGACTTAAACCGACACGCATAGAAATGTTTGTACTTATGGTTCAGGTCTCGATTTGAGAGAGGGCAACTGCGAATTACTAGCCAAAGTGAAGTTGCCCCATTCAGTTTTCAAAGGCATTTGAGAATTCGGGCCTCCTATACGTCTTAAATTTGACATTTCTGTTTTCGTTTTTTTCCGACTTTCTTCCTTATAGACGAAAAAGTCAAGAAGGCGGCTGCATGACTTGTCCACTTGTTCTTTATCCGCCCATAACTATACTCGAAATGGTCTCGAAGATGTAACAAGCGCAAGAAATGCGGAGAGAATCAATCGCACACGGTGCTCTAGACGCTGAAAAATCAGCTGCCCATATCTTCCGTCGTCGGTTCTCCTTTAAGCGTGGCCACGAAAGTTCACCCATTATAAATGACAAAAAAACTCCATCCTCGATGACACTGGCAAGGCCGCATTGTTTAGTGTCCTCTTTAGAGAACACCTTAATACCGAGTCCGAGCCATCACCATCCTTCATCCGCGTCCAAATAGATTTATACACACAGTCGATACCTACTGAAACCTAACTAAAAAACAAATGTGTCGTTTGAAAATTCTAACTCCTCGGCAACGGACGGTATTTAGAATTCTATGATCAAGAGACTGTTAGATCTTTCTAGGTTACTTAGTCATCCATCCTCACTTTACGTTTTGAGTGGATTTTTGCCGTAAACACGGAAGATCTTAATTATCCTTTTAATCTTTAAGTTAAGATCTCGATTTGACGTTAATAACCATGAGGGTGTGCATAAAACCCTGTCACTAGCAAAACTCATTGAAAAGGTCATCTTCGACGAAGTTCTTGATTTATGACTAGCAACTCAGCTTCTGAACACTATTCGGTATGGAGTTTTGCCTGAAAAACCCTGCGAACCTTGTTACTAAACCTCTCTTAACCTAATCACTTCTCTCCTTAAGAAACGAGAGTTAGCGGTAGTTACCTACTTTGGTCTTAGTAGAACATTCGGCAAAATGCTGCATAAACTTCCTCTATTTAAGCTGGGAGCCCTTGGCATCCGACCTCCTCTGTTCGACCTCACGGGGTCCTGCGTATACAACCGCTATTAGGATGTCATGGTTGGTGGTAGTTACTCAACGTCTCACTTGATCACGAGTGGCGCACTTCAAAGCACGGTTCTGAGTCCACGATTCTTCATTCTTTACACCAGCGATATGTCGACAGCAATCAGAAATTCGTAAAAGTTTATTCACGCCGATGGACGAAGTATGTTTATTTATACGATAACTGGAATATTTTCAGTTCCTTACTGAAAGAGATTGTTTATTCCAATTGTCCTCTCAGAAGAAAGAAAATCACAAACCGCCCAAAATGGATAAACCCGGACTTGAAGGCCTCTTTCAGAAAAAGGAATCGCCTGTGGAGGCGTTACAGACTAACTGGCTCCGACGAACACTTACAGGAATATAAGCGGCAACGAAACGTCTGTAAAAGT